TCTTATAATTCGACAATTGATGAATTTGTAGAAAAAGAATTGGTCAAGTGGTAGAAGAGTTCTATAAAGTCTGATGACTATAACAATTACATAAAAATAAAATATAGAATTCGATACTATAAATTCATTGAAAAATTTACATATAAAATGTTCCATTAACGTAATGTTGGTCTTTAATGGATGAAAGTACCTATATCAATCATCAAATGATACATAAAAATAAATGTACAGAAATGGCTGAATGGAAGGATACGGAAAATTTATCGTTGTCTTTTTGCTCACGTTTCGAATACGCGATCTATTACGATATTAATTTTAAATATGAGTGATGACAAGACAAAGAATGAATTGCTGAACATGCTGTACGAGTAACTTCTCAAACATTGTTCTTCGGTACGATAGTATAATTTATCTGCCTCGAAAGAGATATCGTAAATCTCTCAAAATCAGATCTTCATAAAACCTGATCAAGCAGAATTTACGTGCAGCATGTAGCTACTGGTAGTTCGAAAATACTGTTATCGATTCTTGTAAACGTATACCGGAAAAGATTCCTGCTCCCTAAAATAGAGACCTATATAACAATAACTAACTATACGCAGTTGAGCTTTATTCAACAAATTCGTATTCACTGAAAATGGCAGCTATACCTATTTTTTGTTCTTTTTTCACGAAGATACGATATGTAAGCTATGAACAAGTCGAGTATTATCGTACTTCTCTAGGACGAGTAGCCTGTGTAACGAAGCAACGGAGAATTCAAAGGAATCCTCGCAATTCCGTTTTGAGCATAAATTTGAAAAAATTCCAAGCTTTCTCGGAAACTCGAAAGTAGAAACGATAAATTTCTATGACTTTTTTATATGAAAGTCTGAAAGGATCGTGCATCTATTCTCGATCGTTAAGCGAGTGCATGCAACTGGATCGTTCGTAGATCTAACTATCCACGACATGGCTATACGTGCAGGTATAAGCTTTACTTGGAAAGCATTTTAATCCCTTGTGGCCGCATTGTTGTTGGCAACAATAGTACTCAAAATTACGGTCGATTCTCTCCCTGCTAGTGTTTAGCGAAGCAAAAGATAAAGCGAATGCAAAGGAACAATTGCTATTGCTGCATTCCTCTTTACTGTAAGAACAATAGCTCTTTTTTAAACAATCTTTCGTCCCTTTCAATTGCAAACGTTTCATATACCTCGTGTGCTTTGTGTGACTGCTTTCGAACTTTAAAAGAGTAAAGATTGGACTTTAAAGAGTATATAGGACGTACATCGTAATGGTATCCACGATTTTTGGGTTATGCAAAGTACTATTGAACGTACGTCGTACTTGAAGTCTCCTACAAACGTACGATGTTTTAGAAATCGGAAGTTTTGAAAGTCTTTTCTATGCTTAATGTTTATATTGTATAAATACAGAAATACATTCCATAATTATTTAAGTAATTGTAATTTTCTAATATTTCATATTTTCTATTCCTAGTGATTCCAGAGTACTGTAATAAATTACAATGTGAAATATTTTTTGTAATGAAAAAGATAACGATAGTTTGATTGAAAAAATTGCTTAAAAGCTAGAACTATAATTAATAGTTAATAGAACTATTAAGAATTTGTATTACATTCTAGAGAAGTTGTGACATGCTTATAAAGTATATATTTTCTCTTTTAATATAACTGAGGAAATGTACTTTGATGCATAATTATTCATATTTGTTAAATAGTAATAGAGTATTTTATAAATAACGCTTAAAAACATTTACCTAGAAATGAAAAATGAAATGCATTTATTAAATGATATATTGTTAATTGCTAATCTATTATTTACATTTATCATTTAATTTATTTGAAATACTATTAACTAGTTTACACCTTTGAAACGAATTTCCTAATTGATTCTAATTTATTTTATTACGGCAAATTTGTTTTTCCTTTTTTATCGAAGAGGAAATATTTTCGAAATCTGTCTAATTTGCAAATTCATATAATGTGCAATTCGTATAAAATTTTGTTTATATAAGTTCTTTTATCTTTATGAAAAGATTCCACTTAACTAGGTTATCAATAAAGACATATCTATTATTCCATAATTTCTGCTTGATATTTGTCATAAATAAAGAAATCGTGGATATCATTATGATCTAAATTCTTTCGTTCTAAATAATTATTTGTGCTCACTAGTGACGTGTCATAAATTACGTGCTGCTCACTAATAGCCGCGTTTGTATCTTGGGCAGCTAATTATTAGCAGCAGCAGCTATTAGGGCAGCAATATAATACAAGAGAAGTTCGAAAAAAGTGAAAAAATTGTTCTAATAAGTAATAAGTGCAACAGAAGGAAGAAACGCTGTCATGCAACTTTTGTTATATCTTTTTTTATCTAAATGTATTTATATTTGCACAAATTACCATAATCAAAGTTTGAGTATAGGGAATTTATTATTCGTTAAATTGATATCGTAGAATTTACAAAATATTACTAGAGAATATACGATATTTTTCAAGTGAGAATAGAACTAAAATTTAGAGATTATTGAAAATCATTGTAAATAAAAGGTGTTATTACTTTAAATGCTTCTGGAATTGTAACTATGCAAAATTAGATTAAATTACATAAATGTAAAATTCTAAAATAATGTTATCATAAAAATAAAAATCCCTCTTCCCCCATGAAATAAGTTCTAAACTAATCGAAACAGAAATAATTTAAAATATTAACATGATTATACTTGTATTAAAAAGGAAAGATAATTTTAAAGAAACTAACGTACAATATTAAAATAAATATCTCTGTAAAGTTATGTCGACGAATCAATAATATATTTCATGATTTTTACGACAGCAATGCAACATCCACGTTTTTAGAACATCTTCTATTGATAATGATTTTCAAATCATCATGTCAAAGAATTTAATAATAGGATTTTATAAATTATCTATTGATTAAACCCGAAATTCTGAATTATAGCGAAACTTATTTCTACGTATTAAAATTATTTCGATATCATTGATCAGTATTGCAAGTCCCTGATTTGCGTCAAGTGACGTTTGTTACGTCCCAAACTGATTGTGCTTGGATCGCGAACTAATCGGGTTAACGAGTAATCGGATTACAATGCGATTACATTAAGAGGGGTTGGCTTTTAGTTTTTCTACATTAATTAGAACCGTTCATAGAAATCAAGGATTTATTCGATTCTCAACATTACAATGACTACTCTTTAGATACTCTTTTCTTGTGAACTAAAATATCTAGGATTTACGTAACAGGATGTATTAAGTAAACGTTAAAACGAAAGAAAGCAAAGAGAGAAGCAAAAATTGAAAATCGTTCTTGATTTATATTAAAGAAAGAATTACTTTTTCATCCATACCGTTACCTTCCATTCCTTTATTTCTTATTATGTGCATGTAATCAAAGAATTATTCAACTAAATATTATTTTAATGGTTTTAACTTTTATCTCTACGCATATAGAACTTCTGGAGTTTTTTTGACTGGAAAATATATACAAACAATTTGTTTAAAAATATTCAGATATTTCATTCGGAAATTAAGTGTTAATATTTAAATGTTTATAAAATCGATGATATTTTGATGTAATAGATCCAATAAATATCGCTAGCGCATGGTTCCTTTTCCCTTTCTTGTCTGTTACATTTTTATTTTGTTGAACTTGGCATAAACGTTTCACTCTTGAAATGTGCACATTCGCAATTTCTATTTCGGCTGCAGCATCATTATAATTATCATTAACCCATTGGCATATAGAGTGTCTCGTGAAAACCTTTGGACACGTGCCACAGAAAGATTTGATGTATATTTATGTTGTATGTATTATACAGGGTGGTTGGTAACTGGTGGTACAAGCGGAAAGGGGGTGATTCTACGCGAAAAAAGAAGTCGAAAATATAGAATAAAAATTTTTCGTTCGAGGCTTTGTTTTCGAGAAAATCGACATTGAATTTTCGTTCGGTACGCGTGCACTTTATCGCCTCTCGTTATAACGAATCTCATAAAAATTTTCTTTTTTTAATTTTTCCATCGAGACAACGATCTACAATGAGATCCGTTATAACGAGACGCGATAAAGTGCACGCGTACCGAGCTAAAATTCAAAGTGGATTTTCTCGAAAACAAAGCCTCAAACGAAAAATTTTTATTCTACATTTTCGACTTCTTTTTTCGCGTAGAATCATCCCCTTTCCGCTTGTACCACCAGTTACCAACCACCCTGTATAAATTCCATTAGCACTGATGAAACGCTACTGATACGATTATATTGGTAAAAGTCAAACCAATGGAAAAATGTATATAGAAATTATAAGATATTCGCTGCAAATATGTATTTAGTAAAAAGTTAATGTACAGCATAAATAGTCATCTCAAAAATATGATTAAAAAATGGTCACATTGAATACCGAAACTTATCAATATAATGCATAATTGTCTGTTTAAATATACTCTGCGAAATATATATTTGTACCAAATATCTTGTAGCTTCTATATACAATTCGAATTGATTTTAAAGTTTAGCAATATAATCATAATACACGAGTTTCATATTAATGCTAACGAAGCAAAATGTTTTCTATAACACATACATTTATAAAAGGTTTCTACAAGTGTTGGAATACATACTTTAGCTACTGTACATTTATTGCATACATTGTACACATATTTATTGTACACATTGCCAGACAGTTCGAGACATTGTGGTTGTTTCTTACTAATTAGGATTTTAGCAGTTCAAGAATTCAATGCGTTTAACGTTTCCAGGGCTAAATGCTTTTTGAGCAGTTGGAAAAGATTTTTCATGGATTATTAATAGCAATAAATGGTAATTTTGATCGCGAAAAAAATGGTTTACACAGGAACATTTAGCAGAGAAAACGTTAACGTGAGAAAATCATATGTCAATGGGTTACAATTAAAATTGATCAGAAACAATGGTTTGTACGTTGAATTGTAGTGAAGTGTAGTATGAGTTATAGTCCTTACCTTTCGGGTGGTAAACACAAACGAGTATAATTTTCTGCAGCTATAGTGGCCAACGTCAACACCGTCACGAGGAAGCAAAGTGCCTCGAGAGTACATTCAAATCGGCATGTGCTTAATGACTCTTCATGTCCTGCCAGGATCACAATCACTGATACCGGTATTACAAGGCCTGTTACTAATAGATCTGCCAATGCAACGTTCACTAGAAACGCATTTCCTGGAACGAGAGAATATAGTTTGGAGTTAATTAAAATGGATTACCGTATTAGTTAATTGTTAGATGAATTCTGAGAGTATCATATGATTGATATGCATTCAAGGAGCAATGAAGCAATCCAAAGTAATTATTGTTGTGCGCAATACATTACATCGAATGTTGTTGAATATTCATGTTCACAGTACATACAGCATGTATCTTTATATGTATAAGTATTATCACACTTTTACATTTCACATAGGACGTAGTAATCATATGATGAAAGAATTAAAAGTTTGACTAAATCAGATATAAGCGAGTTGTTGATAATTTCTTTTGATCTATTTTCATCTAAATTTTATTATTCTCATTTTCAACAATTTATTTGAGGCGAGCACTTTTGAAAGGTCTTGCTATTTTGGAATTTTAAATAATTTGTGGCTCTGCATGAATATGTTATTCATATGAAACGTGTTCGATTGCTTTACTTTCATTTAGAGATATTTTATAACATAAAATTCTATTCGTTCATATTTTATTCGATTAACACATTTTTTGTGTCATAAGCAATGCGAGATTTTTAAATGTATTGACTTTAGAAATTGGAAGTTTAATTCATGTTTTTATAATGGATGGATAAAATAAGAAGTACGCTGAATTCTATAAACAATTTGACATTTATTTAATATCTATATTTATTATTTATTAATTTATTATTTTACCAGAATTAAAATTGTACAATGTAAGTTACATACATTGCAGTAAATATAAATATGTACACAGCTATTAAATCGAACTAGGTATTTACCTTTTGAATCTTTAACTATGTATCTATGTTATTAACACGTTCAATGCGGGAAGGTTCCTACGATTCCCCTACTCTCTGTGACGAATATTGAAAAAAAATTGTTTAATTGATTTTACTTCAAAGATGTCGAAAACAAATATTAGATTGTTATAAAATATTTTTAGAGAATGATGTCGACAGACGTATACACGTTGTTACTGAAGTCGTTGTTACTCCTCCATACACGTGTGCATGATACATATAATGTCTCAACATTGAATATGTTAAGCATAACTTCATTCGCTTTATTTTTATAAACAATTATTCAATACCACACTGAACGAAAATTATTTTACATTATTAAAAATAAAAATTAGTTATTTGCAAAAATTTCGAAAATACATTTAAATTTAATATTAATAACACTTATTAACTTAAACATAATAATTAATCTTGCTATTAGTATATTTAAATCTAATGTGCACACAACGATCTAATATACTGTTGTTATTTCCATACTCATAGATAGGATCAGATGTTATTTCTATACTCAGAATAGAAATAACAACAGGTTATGGGCCCAAGTGCAATAATTAGTTATTATTTTTATTGAAAATATTATTAATAGTAATAATATTGAGGAGCGCAGAAGATAACCTAAAAACAAAAAAAAGGGGGTGCGTGATCGATGATTCAGTATTGAATATCATAAGGACGCTTTATCGAATATACAATAATTGTTTACGTAATAATACAATTATCAAAAAAAAAAAAAGAAAAAATGTCGAGCGGGGCGAGTTTAAGTATTGAAAAACTAAACAAAGAAAATTACGACACGTGGAAATTGCAAATGGAAGCAATACTCATTAAAGATGACTTGTGGGAATATGCAAATGGTTCAATAATTAAACCTAAAGCAGCGGATGAAGCCTCTTTATGGAATAAAAGGAACGGTAAAGCCAGAGCCGATATTATTCTTACCATAAGTTCGAGTGAGCTATGTCATGCGAAGCATTGCAAAACTTCGCATGAAGTATGGAATAAATTAAAGGAGGTTTACGAACCCAAAGGACCCGCGAGAAAAGCTACGCTCCTAAAGCAATTCACGAAAATGTCCGGTAGTGAAAATATGTCCGATCACTTAACCCTTAGAATGCTGAATACTCGCGGCTTATGCGTTCCGTACGGACGGCGCACGGTCAACGCTGACTATCGCCGTGGACGGAGTACTTTTTCGCTAGACTGAACTCCGTTGATTGACTATTCAAAGCGCAAATCGTAATAAGTTATAGTAATTCTTTTGCACGAGATTAAATGATTCAAGAGCGTTATTTTTTAGTATTAATTATTTATTATAAACATTGAAATTTACAATAAACTAGAATTTGGGTAATAAACTAGAAAACAATAAACTAGAAAACTAAATTTAGTAAATATAACACGAGTTAATAATTCAGTTGCGTGTGAAAAATTTCAAAACAATTATCGATACATAATCCGATATCGCATTTTCTGCATTCGTATCGTGTGTCGCTCCTTCTCTTATTTTTCACGCAAACAACACGTTTTCTTCTTGATAATTGTGTTGTGCCGGCACGATTAGGGCATTTTGACGGAAAATGCCTATCAATTAAACGAAATGGTAAATCCTCGGACTTTCTCTTTCTTCCTCCTAACATGTTTCTACGTTGGAAATATTTTCGTAAAACGTCTCTTATCAACGCTAAATGAAATTCACTAAATTTTTGTTTCGAAGCAGTAGATTTTTGATATAAAATATATGCATTATATGTAAGGAATGCATTTATATTTATCTCACACAAACGTAATAGTATTACTTCTGCGTAGGTGTTCGGAAAAATTGACAAACGCATATATGCGTCCTTAATCCATGCCGGACACTTACAGAAAACTCATTTATGTGTCCTTAGTCCGATAGCTTTCGCCAGACGCGTATATGCGTCCATAGCACTCTAAGGGTTAAATAATTTTTTCAGCCACGTGGATAAATTAAAAGAAATGAATATTCCAATCGCTGATGATTTATTGTCAACCCTATTATTATATAGCGTCCCGAATACATACGAAAATTTTAGATGTGCAATCGAATCGCGGGACCAATTACCTATTCCAGATGCGCTTAAGATAAAATTATTAGAAGAAGCTAATTCTCGTCATAATTCAAATGCCGTGAATGATCACCAAGAAGCTGTACAAGTGGAAGATTCAAATAAACACAAAAGGTATGATAAAAATAGAGATAACAACATATACAATAAAAAATTGTATAATAACATTATTATCGTAAATCATAATAGGCATGTAATTCAATGAAATATTTTTATGCAAAAAGTTTACAAATTAAAGTGCAGAAAATAAAATTATCATGCACGATCTCGATCCATGTACACAGATTAATACATTATAGCATAAAACATGAGTGTGTTGATAAATGTGTTGTAAATTATGCAGATCCATTCCGCAAATTAGAAGTTATGTACTCTTATAGACAATCTGATTGATATTCCTAAACTAATTTCTCATTAACTTCACTAATCCAATATCTATTACTAGTAGTACATGCGTTAATGACTTATTTGTTGTTGCGAACAAAGTTGTCATTCGCAAACTGTGTAAGTACTTACGTTAAGTATGCTATTCTAGCACATGAAGATTTAATTTATAAACGCATGATTAGTTCAAATGTTGTATAATGAAACTAGTAGTACATGCGTTAATGACTTATTTGTTGTTGCGAACAAAGTTGTCATTCGCAAACTGTGTAAGTACTTACGTTAAGTATGCTATTCTAGCACATGAAGATTTAATTTATAAACGCATGATTAGTTCAAATGTTGTATAATGAAACATTTCGAAACTGTACACTTATATGGTTTAAAGACACAAAATATATTAAAGAGATAAATATTTTTACTGTACGATTAGTAAAACATATGAACCAATTATATATGGTGAAAATAATCGTTTAAGTAATACAATAATATCATTAAGTATTAATTACACGTATTGAAATATTAAATAATACGATAATAATACAATAAATAAAAAATACAATAATCGTTACTTTCATTAGTCGTATAGCACAATTTTTAAAACATTTTAACGTAACAACAAATAATCCCAAATACATAGCTATGAGTAACAGTAAAATTTCTACAGAAAATAGGACAATCAAATAAAAAATAATATAGTTCATGTAACGATCTATCAAATCTTTCAACCTATTTTAAATAGTGATCTTCTTCAAAATAGCTAAGTAATTTTCGACTTTCCTCCAAAACACAGCGCAATTTATGTTTACTTAATGTAGTAAACAGATAATATTAAATAAATAAATATTAAAAATCTTCAACTAAAGATAACAGTAACGACTCCAGAGAAAACACTTTACCATTTCATTGATGTTTATATCTTATAGGCAAATATTCTCAATCATTAATTCTTAGTTTAAGTTCACTCCACGGGGTTGATAGGGGTTGGACTATGTTAAATGGAAATGTGGAGGTGACGAGGAATGGGAAACAGTGATAAATTGCGCGATGGTGAATATGAAGGGTTGGCACAGAATCACCTTCTTTACAATAACAGGATAAAATCAGATTATCTACCGACAGAAGCAACTATGAGTGTAGGAGATACAGAAGTAAATAAGGAACATCAGAGAAGTACAGGAGAAAATATAAATACAGGATTGGATAAAAGAAGGAATAAAAAGATACAAGGAAGAGATACAAAACTTGAAGTTGTCAGAAAGCGAATTAAGAGACGATTAAAAAGGACTGAAAATGGTATTGAGGAAAGCAACACGAATAAACGAAACAAGGAAGCACAAAGTGGAACAAGGAAGGATAAAGTGTTGGGATACGGAATGCTGGAAAGTGAAAAAGCAGTGAAAATATGTCTGAGGAAAGTCAGGAAAGAAACAAGTATAACAGAGTATCATAAGGAGAGAAGGAAGTATAAAACATTATGTAAAGAAAAAGAAGAATGAAAAACAGAAGAAGAAATAGAAGAGGTAAGGAGTTGTAGAACAGAGGTAGAAATATGGGCATATGTTAATAGGGGAAAGAAGAAGAGATAAGGGGTAGGTGCTCGAATAAAGATGGAAGAGTGGAAATAACATTTCAAGAATTAGTTAGAAGGAAACGAAGAAAAACTAGAAGTCGAATAGGGAACGATCAAGACAAACGAGGGGTATACAGGAGAATTGGACGACAGAGAAATAGAACATCAGATAGATCAAAGAGGAGGGAAGCAGCAGGCAGAGGCGGGATAAAAAATAAAGTACGGATAATTACAAAGGAGAAGTTTGAAGAGAACTAAAAGAAATAATAAAAAAAAGTATAGAATGGACAAGGCTTCCCGAAAGACTGGAGAGAAGGAGAAATAACACACAAAGTAGGCAACTGTAAAAGGATAATATACAGAATATAGTACATAAGACCTACGCAATGGTGCTGAGGGAAAAGCTAGGGAAAGAAGAAAATAGAGAGAAAGAAAACACAAACGGGATTCAGAGGAAGACGAATTACGATGGATAACATACATGTACATGTATATTAAGACACACGATAGGGAACAAATACAGAGAAAGGAGAAAAGTTCTAAGGCTTCTTCTTCGATCTAAAGGCAGCCTTCGACACAGTAAATGGGAAAAAGTTGTGTGAAATGAAGAGGAAGAAAAAGATAAACAACCAGCGGATAGAAAGAATAAAGGAAATCGGAATTATTGCGCATCTCTGTCTCAAACCTGTTAGTATTCAGAAATTTTCTGTGCCTCCTTGTTTAATTCTGACCCTGCTGCATGTTTCTTCATATAAGTCCGGTCTTGTTCACGACTTACATCGCAAATTTAGAGGAGGATTTGAGAAAGGAAGAGGATGGAAAAAGAGAAACCACGTGCCAAATGCGAAGATGTCCAAAATGATAGTTCTTGGAGAAACTAGAGGGAGGAGAAAAGTAGAAAAATGGTCATGGGAAGGGAGAGAGCTGGAGCCAGGAAAAGAATTGAAGTATCTAGAATCTAAGATATATCTTGAAACAAAATCCAGATGATGATCGACAGATACGAGAAGCGGTGAAGAGAAGTCAGGATAGCGATGAAATGGGTCTAAGAAATTGGGCAAAGGAAATACAAGAGCGACTTAAAAAGAAGGATTACGTTATTTGTTTCATTGGTAAAAAGTATGCTGTATGGAGTAGAGACATGGGGCTAGAAAAAGCAAAGTAGATTGGAGCTGATATGTATTAGTCAGGATAAGCATTTGAAATAGATATTAGGGTTTGATTGGAACACCTCAAGATATACAAGGTGGTTGGTAACTGGTGGTACAAGCGGAAAGAGGGTGATTCTACGCGAAAAAAGAGGTCGAAAATATAGAATAAAAATTTTTCGTTCGAGGCTTTGTTTTCGAGAAAATCGACTTTGAATTTTCGCTCGGTACGCGTGCACTTTATCGCGTCTCGTTATAACGGATCTCACTGTAGATCGTTGTCTCGATGGAAAAATTAAAAAAAAAATTTTTATTCTATATT